CGTTTTGTAAAGCCATTTAAAATATAAATCCAAATCTGGACATTTGAATGATTTGAAACTTTTTAAAAAAATGATAAAACGAACAATTGAAACTCTTGTTGATGAAGCAAATGTTGGATCTGAAACAAAAAAGACGAAACTCACTCATGAAGTTTTCAATGATGATATTCTGGGTGAAATTTTATCCTTCTATGATGATTTTAAATTCATTGTATTGAATTGTGCATTAGTTTCGAAACAGTGGTTGAATGTCATATTGGAAAGATCAAGACTTTGTTTTCGATGTTATAGTAACAATTTGAAAGGTCGATTTTTACAAAATATTGCAACTTTGGTGGTGAGATTTGGAACTGTCGAATTTGATTATCAAATACTTGGTCTGATGAAACGTTTATCACATCTTCGAGCTTGTTTTAATGATATTGGTGTTGAAGGGGCTAAACACATCAGTCAATTGAAACAATTAACTTTTCTTGGAGTGAGTGGTAATTTTGTTGGAGTGGAAGGAGCCAAATACATTAGTCAATTGAAACAATTGACAAACCTAGATATTTGTTTTAATAATATTGGAGACGAGGGTGCAAAACACATTAGTGAATTGAAACAATTGAAAAATCTCAAAATTGGAAACAATTACATTGGTGTTGAAGGTGCCAAATACATTAGTCAATTGAAGCATTTAACCAAGCTTTCTATTAGTTATAACAATGTCAGAGTTGAGGGGGTTAAATACATTAGCGAAATGAAACAATTAACTGATCTTAACATTGGTGAGAATGTAATTGGTGATGAAGGAGCTAAACATATTAAGAAATTGAATCAATTGACTAGATTAAGTATTTCAGGTGTTGAAATAAGTGAAGCAGGAGCTAAATACATTTGTGAAATGAAACAATTAACACAGCTCAATATTAAGAATAATAACATTGGCAAAATAGGCAAGGAATATATCTGTACTGAACTGAAATATTTAATTGATCTTGAAGTGTACTGAAGTATAAAAAGAAAAAATTCATTTTCTTTCGTGCATTTGATTTGTACAAATACCATCCATGAAAGGTAATCTTCTTGTCTATACTTAAAATTATTTATTCCAATAACTTAATAATTCTTCCATTTTACCATACGAGTTGAT